AAGAATCCTGAAAACAATGAATAAGCAACTTATCATTGCGAGCATATGCTGCCATCTTTCTACAATACATGGTTATGTGATTCTTTGGACAACTTGTTCCTTTATATTTATCAAATTCAGGCACTTTGAATTTCGGGGGAAACTGTATATCTAGAACCAAACAAAGATCGACAGCTTCACCGACATCATAGCTACCTCCTTCCACAACCTTTAGCCTCTCTAGCATTTGTAACTTCTCACTAGACTGAACGTGCGCAATTCCAAAGGTTGGTTGATATTCCCCAGAAGTTTGGTGAGGATTCCCTTGGTTAGAATTTCGGGGTTGGTAGGGAAATTGATGTTTGTAAGAGGCAACGTTCATGGATGAAACCTCAAGTTGGGTAGGTTGCATTTGTGTAGGCGGCCGATTCACCAATGGTTGGTGCTTATCCGGAGGATCCATGATTATTGGAGGTGTGTAGTTGAGCATATGGCCATTGGACCTCTGGAGGATCAACTTGTTAACCGGATTTGTTAAGATATAGAGTTAATGGTTGTGCTGGGGCTGGGGTAGAGCCAGGTGGATACGCAGGAGAAGTTGACGATTCTCCTCTAGCTATTGGAGGGGTCCCTTCAACATTTTTCACTTTTATAGACTGCAACATCTCTAGAATTTGGGCCATTTGTTCCTTCAATTGATTGATATCATTTCTCAGTTCTTCGTTGCGTTCCTCCATCTCATCCATGATCTTAGCCTGAGAGCGTGTTCTATAACGATACCGAGGAAAAAATTTGTTTTTTTTTGCTTTATTACTTTCTGAATACAAAGTGGATTTTATGAGTATAAAAGAAAAGGAAGAAGAAACAAATTTTGGAAAAATTGATTTTGTATTCAAATTGAAGAGCGACTCCCCACATCTCAACGCTAGAGGCAAAAATCCCTTAGGTCATACAATGGTTGACACTTATTTCAAGGGAGCATTCACTCCTCAATGGATAAGGTCATCTTACTAGCAAGGCAGCAGTACAAACCACATTTTCAAACAAGGATCAATCATCTCAAGATCAAAATGTGATTAACAATCACTCAAGGGAGAATTCTCTCCTCAATAAATGATGTCTAAAACAAGTTACATACTCTTGCTTAACCCTGATGCATTGCTAGTATGATTTTGAATCTCCCCCATATTGAATACTATCAATTGTTTTAAAGTGTTAATGAGACAAAGACTTAGTTAAATGAAAAAAAACATGCAACCTAATATGCCCCTAATATGCATGTATGCATGGCCTTCCATCATTTTTATCTTTTATTTTTTTATTAATATATTTTATTTTCGAAAAGAAAAGTAACCTAATTACAAAAGTGATATTGGATATAAATGTATGATGCATGAATGTATTAACATGTTTTTTTTTTGTTAGTATGAACATATAAAAGAGGGATAGAGAGTAGTGCAATGTGACCTATTACGGTAAACCTAGGGTAGGAAATTTCTAAGGTTAACACCCTACTTTGGAAGGTCATTAAGTCCACCTATTTGTGCATGAGTTTGTGGATGGATCTAAAAACTCCTCAAGATTTATTGGTCCCCAGGTTGCCCTTATCATATAAATAAGGACCTAGCGCATGAATCAATCACAAGTAGGGAACATACCCTCTCAATATGATTAACTCATGCTACTAGTAACAATCTGAGTAGTGACTCAACAACGGTCAAGTGAGCATCAAGCCCCTCAATAGCAGTCATCAAGCCACCGTCTCTTCTTATGCTCACACAGGCTCGGGTATAGAGCCCAAAGTGTGTGAGGTACAAGTGTTAGTGAGTGTGTGGGATAACAAACAAAGATGCAAATAAAATAAATAAAACTCTAATTTAAGCTTAAATCCAAACAACACATGCGTAGCAAACAAAAATAACAAAACAAATAAATAAAACAAAAAATAAAATAAAAGGAAAGGAAAAAAAATTAATATTTATAAAGTCATAATTTTGCGCAATTAATTTAATAAGGCCCGACTCTCAAACATCCCTAGTGGAGTCTCCATCTATCGTAACCGGGATCACGACGGGATGGTAACATTTCTTTTCAATGGAGCTGCCACCAATATTTTATTTTAAGGGAAAAACATTGGAAATCCCTTTAAAAGATAATCTTTAAAATTAAAGTTGGGTTCGAGAGTCGATTAACAATACCTGTAAAAATAGTGCCTTTAATTAATTGTGCAAAATTATATAAATTTATAAATATTTAATTTACTTCTCAGAAATGTATATATATATATATTTTAAATGTGAGATGCCTTTTTTTTTGTATTTTTATTAGAAAATTATAGGGATTTGGGTTAGCAAATGGCTAATCAATAATATGAAAGATAGAATTGTTATCCAATCAATGTTATTGATTTTTATTTGTTGATACTAAATTATTCTTAAAGCTTAGGACAATGAATAATTATTCTATTAACTTTTATGATTTACATGATATTAAAGGGTAGAAGTACTACTCAATTAATATCATTAACCATAAAAATAAGTATACATGAATATTTTTATCTAAAGAAATAGATTTTGCATAAGGATTCAAGTTAACAAATGACTAATCAATAAGTCCCTCCAATAACGTTAAAAATAGAAGTGCTACTTAATTAACGTTATTGGTTGTAACATCTTTATTCTTTAAAAAGAAATTTTGTACAGGAGAGTTTAAGCTAGCAAATGACTAGTCATTAAACTCATAGAACCAAATAATGTTAAAGATAAAATGTTATTCAATTACCATTATTATTTGTCATATATTAAATACTTTTTAAACAATAATTTTAAAGACAACAAATTATATTCACTATGTACATGCAATTATTAAATAAAAAATAAAAAATAAATAAATAAACAAATAAAGAAAGAAAAAGAAATGATACCAAATGAGAGACTTTAACTTGCTGAATCTTCAAATATGATGATCTATTAGGCATTTTTTGGCGACCTAACACACTACAATGTTCCTCACAAAATCTTAAGAAATACAGAGGAGAGAGAAAGAGAAATTTCGAGCTTTAAGGAATCTTGGACGAAATTTTCCCCTGAAAACTGTGCCCGAGTCGTCTATTTATAGACGTTAGAAGTTGCCAGAACGGTCCGTTCCAAAATTGGAACGACTCGTTTTGGATATGGCCGTTTTGTGTTAATTTAGTACTTGGAAGGGCCCGTTCTAAAATTGAAACTGTCCGTTCTAAATTCGGAACGAGCTGTTCCAGATAGGATTTTGAGTCTTTTCATTGACTTGGAACGACTAGTTCTCATTTTGGAACGACCCATTCTCAATTAGGGTTGTTGTTCTTTTTTGTAACTTGGAACGGTCTGTTCTAAATTTGGAACGGCTCGTTCTGGGCTACTTAACAAATTTTTTTTTGCTTCAAACTTTCTTGTTGTCATATGGTGTTGCCTCCATACTTTGGGAGCTCCTCCTCTTCATAGTAGATATGTATTTCATTGTTTTTGTGAATCTGGATAAAATTGATTATTCACACTATTTATTATTATATATATTATTTTAACAATATATCATTTTTTTATATATAAAGATAAAATCAATGTTAAACAACATGAATTTACTATAAATTTATCAACTCAAACCTCTAATGAAATTTAATGTTAATGAATAATCACTTTCATGAAAGAATTTTTATTTTTTTACCAATGATTTTAATTTTATTCATTATTGTTCATCTTTAGTTGGCCTCTCATCTTAAATAAGTTTTTACTATCTATAAAATTTAAACTTGAGTTTTTTTCTTAATGAGAGTAAGTTTAGTGCCACTTTATCCAACACTATCTTGAATATATTAATTAACATTGTACATATTTTAATCTTTATCAATCATCAAAATAGATAAAAAAAATAAACTTTAATATATTAAATCGGTGTATTTTGCACTCTATACTATGCAAAATTAACGCATTTTTTAAGTATAAATATTTTTTTTATTCATTTAATATATATATATATATATATATATAAAATATAAA